CCTAGGGTGATACTGCCACGCCCATGACCAAGAAGGGGCCGCTGGTCCTGATGCTGGTCCCAGTCTGGATGGGGGAGGGGCGCGCAGGGGGAGGCCCAGGCCACTACAGCTGCACTTGCCAGCCATGAGCCCTGTGTCTGGCACCTGTTGGTCAGCTGAATGGCGCTGAGTGTCTGCCCCCTGGTGGTCAGTGTGCATCATAGCTACCGGCTGAACGGTTGCTTAGGCTTTTAGATAGATAGATAGAAAGATAGATAGATAGATAGATATTTTGCTATTATTCAACTCAAAATATTTTCTAGCTTTCTTTGACTCATAAGTTAATTAAAAATAGATTTCTAAATTTCTAAATACATGGGAATTTTCATTTTATTGGTTTCTAGCTTAATTCCATTTAGAGAACAGTCTATATAATTTCAATCACTTCATATTTGTTGAGAATTGCCTTGTGGCCAGCATAATGTGCCTTTTATACTGCATAAATGCACTTTTATGTGCATTTGAAAATAATTTTATTCTGCCCAGCCAGTATGGCTTGATGGTTAAGGGTCAACCTATGAACCAGGAGGTCATGGTCAGGGCACATGCCCAGGTTGCAGGCTCAATTCCCAGTAGGGGGCATACAGGATACAGTAGACAGCCAGTCACTGATTCTCTCTCATCACTGATGTTTCTATCTCTCTTTCCCTCTCCCTTCTCTGAAAAAAAAAATATATATATATATATATATATACACACACACACACACACACACACACACATATATATATATACACACACTTACCACTGATTTTCAGGGAGAGTGGAAGAGAAAGAGAAAGACAGAGAGAAATATCAATGTGAGAGAAACATCATTGGTTGCCTCCTGCATGCACCCACCAGGGCCTGGGCCAGGAGGAGCCTGCAACCAAGGTATGTGCCCTTGACCAGAATCGAACCTGGGACCCTTTGGTCCACAGGTGGAAACTCTACCCACTGAGCCAAACCAGCTAGGGCAAAATATATATATTTTTTAAGAAAATAATTTGAGCCGAAACCAGTTTGGCTCAGTGGATAGAGCGTCGGCCTGCGGACTGAAAGGTCCCAGGTTCGATTCCGGTCAAGGGCATGTACCTGGGTTTCGGGCATATCCCCAGTAGGAGATGTGCAGGAGGCAGCTGATCGATGTTTCTCTCTCATCGATGTTTCTAACTCTCTATCTCTCTCCCTTCCTCTCTGTAAAAAATCAATAAAATATATTTAAAAAAAAAAAAAAAGAAAGAAAAAAGAAAATAATTTGATTCTGCAATTGCTAGGTGCAGTGCTCTATATATGTCCACTAGGTAAGTTTAATACTTATGCTGCTCAGTTCTTCTACATTTTTACAAACGTTTTATCTGCTTATCATAACAGCAGCTGAGACAGTTATGTTATAATATCCCACTATGGCCCTGGCCAGCGTTGCTCAGTGGTTGGAGTGTCAGCCCGAGAACCAAAGGGCCATGGGTTTGAGTCCAGTGAAGGGCATTCACCTGGGTTGCAGGTTCCCTGTCCCATTTGGGGGAGTGCGGGAGACAACCAATTGATGTGGCTGTCTCTCCCCCTCCTCCCTCCCTTCTACTCTAAAATCAATGGAAAAAATATTCTCCCAGTGAGGATTAACCAAAAAAACCCCACTGACTGCGGATTTATTTCTATTACAGTTGTATTGATTTTTGAAGTGCATGAGGATTTTAATTATACCTGAAATAAACCATTTAACATTTATCAGTATATCTTTATCTCTAATATATTTTGCCTTCAAAGCCTATTTTGTCTGATATTAAAATAGCTACATCAACTTTCTTTTGGTTAGTGTGTGCGTAGTATTTTTTTCCATTCTTTTACTTTCAATCTTTTTTTTTTTTTTTAAATATATTTTTATTGATTTTTTACAGAGAGGAAGGAAGAGAGACAGAGAGCAGGAAACATCGATGAGAGAGAAACATCGACCAGCTGCCTCCTGCACACCCCCCACCGGGGATGTGCCGCAACCAAGGCACATGCCCCTGACCGGAATCGAACCCGGGACCCTTCAGTCCGCAGGCCGACGCCCCATCCACTGAGCCAAGCCAGTCCTGGCTACTTTCAATCTTTTGATGTGCTTTTATTTTAAATGTCTCTTTTAAATAGCCCTAGTCAGGTTTTGTTTTCTTACCTAACAATCTGTCTTTTCATTGGAGCATTAGAGTCCATTTACATTGAATGTGATGACTGATACATAAAGATTTAAGTCTATCAATTCACTGTTTGCTTTCTATTTGTTCTGCTTGCTCAATGTTCCCTTTTCTCGCCTTTCCTGCCTTCTTTCAAATTTAGAAATTATTCAATTTTTTACTTGCCTTTTAGCTTTAATATAATATAGTCTTTCACAATTTAGTGGCTGCCACACAGATTACATGTATCTGAGACTTGTCTAACATTAATGGTTCTTTTTCCTGGAAATGCAAGGACTTTAAAATAGTTTTATTCCATTTATCTCCTTTCTGACTTATACTCCATTGTTGTACATTTTAATCTATAGATATTTTAAACCCAAAGACATAATTAATTTTTACAGTCAATAATCACTTGGTCTTTTCCACATAAATACACTTTTTGTTGCTCTTCATTTCTTCCTGCAACTCTAACCTTTCACCAGAGATCATTTTCCTTCAGCCAAAAACAAAGAAAAAAATACCTTAGTGTTTCCTTTAACGTGGGTCTGCTCACCAAAAAATTGTTTTTATTTATTTGAAATGTCTCTATGAAGGATTTCTTTGGTGAGTAAAGAATTCCGTGTTCACAGTTTCTTTCACTTAAATTTCAGTCGACTTGTTTTCCATGGTTTCTGTTCAGAACACAGCTGTTGCTCTTGTGAAGGTAATCTGTCTCCAGATGCTTGCAAGACTCCTTCTCATCTATGGTTTTCAGCAGTTATATCATGAAGTGACTGGCTGTGGTTTTCTTTGTGTTCATGGGGTTATCGTTTCTGTGGACGTAAGTACCTTAAACAGTTGTGGGAAATTCTCAAGCATTATCTTTTCAAATATTGTTTCAGCCCAATTTTGTCTCTCCTCTCTTTCTGAGATGACAACTGAACACACGTTAGACTTCTCATATTATCTCTATCTCCTACCCTGTTCACCTAAATTTTCCATGTCTCCAGGCTTTCTTGTGGGTATGTTGAGCTATCTGTTGGCCATTAAATTCTTTCTTCAGCTGTGTCTAATTTACCCTTCCTTTGAGAATTTAGCTTTATTACATTTTTCAGTTTTAAATTTTTCATTTGGTTCTTTTTTAGTTTCTAAGTCTCTGCCAAAATTCTCAATCTGGTCTTTATCTCCTCTTTATTTGGAAATGGGGTCTTTGCAACATAATCAGTCAAGGATTTTGAGATGCATAGTTGTTTGAAAGTCTGCATCTGATATCTGGAGCCCCTATTAAACCGTCTTCATAGTCTATTGTTTGTATTTGTTTTAACTCATGTAGCCTTGCCTCCCTGTTTGTCTATTTTTTATTGTAGCCAGACACTGAATTTACAACAGGGCTTGTGAAAATGACTGGAGGACTGTATGGTATTATCGCTTCTACAAAAGATTAATTTCAGAGACAGGACACAATGTGAAGCAGGACTGCGGTCCTTAGGAAGTCCTACTTCTGGTTCATCCTCATATCTTGGAAGTGGCTTTTGGGATCCCAACCCAAATTAAGGGAGTTCACCCAGAACTGCTGCCCTTTGGCAGACCTTGCTACCTCAGCTTCCTTCTTCCCCCAAAGCATTTGACAGCCTCGCAGAGCTCCGCCTCTCAGTTTCCCCTTCAGAGTCAGTATATGGCCCTATTTTAATTTCCTGTGGCTGCCCAGTAACCAAGTACCACAGACTGGGAGGCCTAACCAACAGAAATGTGTAGCCTTGTGATACAGATGGCTAGAAGTCTAAAATCAAGGTGTCAGCATGCATAAGCCATGGACACAGACATTAGGGTGCTGAAGGCCTGGGGCAGGGAGGGGGTAGTGGGGGCGGACTGGAGGGGGTCAATGGGGGAAAGGGGGACATATGTAATACTTTCAACAATAAAGAATTATTTTTTAAAAAATAAAATAAAATAAAATAAAGGTGTCAACAAGGCCTAAAGGATCCAGGGAGATTCCATTCATTACCTCCTTCCAGTAGCCCCATCAGGCCTCAGTTTGTGGTAACAGAACTCCAATCTGTTTTCTTTCACATGCTCTTTTCTTCTGTGTTTCCTGTGTCCAACTCCCCCTCCCCTTTCTCTTATAAAGACACCAGACACTACATTTAGAGTCCACCCTAAATCCAAGATGATTCATCTCAAGATTCTTAACTAATTATATCTGCAAAGCCTCTATTTCCAAACAAGGTTACATTCTGAGGTTCCGGGTGAATTTTGAGGGAACACTATTCCCACTATAGACCCCACTATTGATCCCATGGTAAAAAGCAGCCCCAAATGTCATGTTCACTTCCTCAAATTACATCCTCCCCAAATCCCAACCTCGTAATTCTACATTATCTTAGCTCTCTCCTCAGTGATGGCGAACCTTTTGAGCTCGGCGTGTCAGCATTTTGAAAAACCCTAACTTAACTCTGGTGCCGTGTCACATATAGAAATTTTTTAATATTTGCAACCATAGTGAAACAAAGACTTACATTTTTGATATTTATTTTCTATATTTAAATGCCATTTAACAAAGAAAAATCAACCAAAAAAATGAGTTCGCGTGTCACCTCTGACACGCGTGTCATAGGTTCGCCATCACTGTAGCTGACGGTGCCGGAAGAATGGCTTAGTCAGCTGCTTGGCCCACCATTACCAGAAGTCACCTTCTCCTACCCACCTTTCAGATTAAACTAAACAGTCCCTTCCTCAAGGAGCCCTTTCCATACCTCCCTTAGTATCAAGTCAAATTCATCTACTGTAGTCTCCCAGAGCATTCCAGCCCTCTCCTGTTTAGCACTCACTGCTGTCCACAACAGCACATTAAATGTGATTATCTTACTAATGTCTGTCTTGTTTTCAGACTATTAGCTCTAGGAGTGTTTTTGGGAAAAGTTTTCAATTAGCAATAATCGCGCCTCGGATAAACCTCATTGGCTACGATACTGCCACTAGGAGTGTTTTTGTTGTTGTTCAGTAAGGTACCCCAAGTGCCTAGCACACTTAATAATTTTAAGATCTCCAATTTTTTTAAAATTTATTTAAGAGAGAGAGAGAGAGAGAGAGAGAGAGAGAGAGAGAGAGAAGGAGGAAGGGAGGGGAGAGAGAAAGAGAGGGAGAGATGGAGGGAGAGCGGGAGGGAAGGTGAGAGGACGAGATGGGGAAAGAGGGGGAAAGGGTGGGGGGAGAGGGAGAGGAAGGTGGGGGGGGGAGAGAGAGAGAGAGATCAATTTGTTGTTCCACTTATTTATGCATTCATTGGTTGATTCTTGTATGTGCCCTGACCAAAGGTTGAACCCACAACCTTGGCATAGCCAAGCAATGCTCTAACCAACTGAGCTACCCGACCAGGGCCTAAGATCTCCAATGTTTGCTGAGTTAAATTGAATCTGTGAAAAAAGGAAAATAATGCCTGGCCCATGTATTTCCACTAGTATTCAAGAAATTAGCAATTTTTTTAAAAGATCTTCAATGCTAATTGTCTGCCAGACTCATTTTTATTTGCTCTTCCAGCTGACAGAAATGGAGACTCACCCAGATCAGCCTGAGCTAGGGAAGGACAGGTTTAGGGAGATGGCTACTATATGAGATACAAAAAGTGAATAATTAGAAAGACAGAAATAATCATAAAAGCAACCATTTACTGCATGCTTACAATGTGTGACGCACTATGCTAAGTGTTATACATGGATTATTCCATTTAACTCTGAGTTATCATCCTTTCTATTTTACAGATCTGAAAACTATGATTATCATTCCATTTTGCAGATATGGAAATTGAGACTCAGAAATAAACAGCTAATATTTATTGTCACTGCTGCCAACCCAAGAACTAATATTCACCCTATTTACAGATAAGGAAACCAAGTCTTAAGAGAAATTTAGAAACTTGTCTGTGATCACGTCTTATAAGCAGGATGTGAATCAACTTGATTTGACACCAAAGTTCAGGATATTAAATGCTACTGAACACTAGCTTTGAAAACCTTTTATACCGCTTCACACCCACTAGGATGGCTATCATCAAAAAGACAGTAACTGAGGACATGAAGAAACTGGAACCTTCATACATTGCTGGTAGGAATGTAAAATAGTACAGCTACTGTGGAAAAGTCTGGCAGTTTCTCAAAAGTTAAGCAGAGTTACCATATGACCCAGCAAATCTACTCCTAGGTAGATGCCCAAGAGAAACAAAACATATATCCACAAAAACCGTGTACAACAATTGTTCATAGCAGCATTATCCAGAACAGCCAAAAAATGGAAATAACCCCAATCCCCATCAATTGATAAATGTAAAATGTAGTATAGCCATACAATGGAATATTATTCAAGAATAAAAAGGGGCTGAAACCGGTTTGGCTCAGTGGATAGAGCGTCGGCCTGCGGACTGAAAGGTCCCAGGTTCGATTCCGGTCAGGGGCATGTACCAGGGTTGCGGGCACATCCCCAGTAGATGTGCAGGAGGCAGCTGATCGATGTCTCTCTCATCGATGTTTCTAGCTCTCTATCTCTCTCCCTTCCTCCCTGTAAAAAATCAATAAAATATATTTAAAAAAAAAAAGAATAAAAAGGGGAAGAGTACTGGCACATGCTACAACATGGATGAACTTCAAACACATTATTCTAAATGAAGAAGCCAGCCCTAGCCAGTTTGGCTCAGTGGATAGAGCGTCAGCCCCCAAACTGAAGGGTCCCAGGTTTGATTCAGTCAAGGACACATACCTGAGTTCCCCACCAGAGACACACAGGGGTCAACCAATCGATGTGTCTCTCACATCAATGTTTCCCTCTCTCTGTCTCTCCCCTCCCTTCCACTGTCTCTAAAAAAAAAAAAAATCAATGGAAAAATATCCTTAGGTGAGGACTTATTTAAATTTTTCAAAAAATTATTTATAAATAAATAAGAGAAGCCAAAGCCAGGCACTAAAGGTATGTACTGCATGTTTCTACTTACTAGTATATGAAATGTCCAGAATCGGCAAACCCAAAAAACAGAAAGTAGGTTAGCAGTAGCCTAAGGTTGAGAGAGTTGGGAGGAAATGGGGAGTTAATGGTTGTGGGGTTTCTTTTTGGGGTGATGAAATGTTCTAAAATTGACTGTGGTGATGGTTACACTACTGTGAAGATACTAAAAACTACTGAACTATACACTTTAAATGAGTGAACTGTGTGGTGTGTGAATTATATCTTAATAAAGATGTCATTGTTAAGACTTCTATAACTTTAAGCTTTTACCTAATTTCTAGTAGTCTTCATTTCAATGGAAAAGTGCTTTGTTTAAATTTGAAATCATGAATTTAAGCACTTTTATGCACAAAGCCAAAAATGTTAACTTTTAAAAAGCTTTTAAATAAATTAAACTCTACCTTAACTGATATGCTCCACAGATCACACTACTTTTACTCAAATTTCATCACACCCTATAATGTACTGGTGAATTAATTTACCAGTGTATTAGCTCCATTTTCTTTTTTCCACTCTAGCTATGCAGTCCTATAGAATCATTATTGTGTATTATGGTTAGGAAATACAAATGAATTGTTTGCTGGGGAAACTGGAACATATAAAAATATCAGACATGAATGAAATGCTAAATTAACAAATAACCATCCCCAATCTACACACATCAAATTTTCAGTATGCTGAAGACTTGGGGAAGTCTTAAAAGAAACTCATAAACTAAAGATCTGGAGTTTGGTACGACCTCTCCTTACACATGTCATAAGGTCCCTGAACCAGCAGCAGCAGCATCTCCTGGGAGCTGATTAGAAATGCAGAATCTCAGACCCCACCCCAGACCTACTCAGCCAGATTCTGCATTTCAACAAGATCCCCAAGGGATGTGTCTGCTGCACATTCAAATTTGAGAAGCACTGTCCTAAGACACTTCCTTTTCTTTTTCCATTAAGATAGCTCTAGCTTGCTGGACTAATATTTCAAAACTTGACATACATACAGCTCTGGTCCTGGGCCAGCTTGTCCTCAGTTCCATTCCTCATCTGCTGTATTCCAAGTGGTGGAGGGGTTGATCTTTGCAGGCTGAGTTTCCCATGCAGGAACGGGGATGGGTGAGTCCCCAGCAGCAGCTGTGTCTTCCCCAAGGCTCCAGCCCCATCCAGACAACTTAGGGTGGTCCCAGCCTCGGGGGAGTCAGCTATGCCACCTCCTGGAGTCAGCCAAGCCACCTCCTCCCTTTGTCCTCCAGCTTAGGGGTAGCAGTAGTTTCCTGTTTGTTGCCTCATCTCAGGGTTGCCTCACTGCCCACTGTCTGCATTCTCAATTCTTCATCACCTATGCAAGCATGCCCTACATTAAATTCCCTCTGTTCTAAATACTTAAAGTGGATTCTGTTTTCCTTTTTGGGCCCAGAATGATACTCCATACATTTTAAATAGTTCTCTTAAGCACCACTTAAGAATTCTCAGCAGAGAATTTTCTTTAAGCTTACTGGCTTAAAAGGGGGAGGAGGGGCTATTGCACACACAGTAAACCTCAGATTTCCCACATTCTGACAATCACTAACTACCAAAAAGAAAAATCAGTCTTAAGCTATTTGTACAGCAGATGTAACTGTATTCAGAAACTCAAAGCCTCAGAGTGTATTTTTAACACTCTCCCCATCACTCCTCAATCAGAACAGCTGGTATAGCAGCTACTACTGTTTTGTTGTTGTTGTTTTGGGGAGGAGGAGACCCATCTCCAAAGAACAGAATTCTGGTCAAACACTGGAATCTCTGAGAGATCAAATCTTAATCACACTTGTAAATCACATGATCTACCCTACACTAGGAACATAACATGCTGGAGGACCAATCAACAGGAGAGAGCAACTCCTATCAGTACCGATTAAGGTCGCTTGGAGATCTTCCTAAAAACACATCTGACCTGGTCACTCCCATACTCTGAATAACCCTCTGGGGCTCACTCTTGCCCAAGGCCAAAAACCCAAGCCCAGGCTAGCCCTTTGAAATCTACCCTTCCCATCTCCTCTCCCTAATTCCTCTCAACCTGATGCATTCACCTTCTCACCATTCCCAGGTGTGCTTAAACCTTAAGCTACGACAGTAAACTATGTGGAAAGCCCTCCCTTCCCACTTAGCCTGGCAAATCCTTTCCCTCAAGATCCTGTCTTAAAGGGGACCTCTCTATCCCTGCCTCCCAGGATAATTGGATTCTCAGTCCTATGAGCTTCCACAGCACTTACTATGCCACACAGTCAAGTACACCGGTGTCCATTTCCTACAGACTGGGAACCCCTGGGTGGAGAAACGGCCTTCCACCTTGGTATTCTGACCACGGCTCACATCCAGGTCCACACTTACTACCTGTGATACCCTGTGCACGTCCCTTAAGTTCTCTACCTGGATTTCCAATTCCATAAGATGGGGATGATAGGTAACACCCAACTCCACCAGCTATCACCAGTACTAAATGAGCTAACCCACGTCACGTGCTGTAAAGTTAACCCAAGAAAAGTGCCTGGCACACATAGCAAGCACTGAAGATTTGCTATCATTAGTTATCACTGTTCCACATGGAACAGGTGTTCAATACCTATTTGCTGGATAACAGGAGCGCATCACAATAAACCCGCTTCGTAGCATGTCGGGGCTAAGGGCTAACCCACCACGGGTATCAAAAGCCAGCAGAAGATAATGAGAGAAATGGCTCCCACGGTAAAAGTAACAGCTGAACTTAACTGGCCCGAGGACAAGCGCACTGCAGCAGGATGAGAAAGTCGGTGCCAGCTGGATCTGCCGAGGCTGCCCACAGACCGGCCTGCCCTCGGCCACCTGTCCGGCCACCTGTCCGGCCACCTGCCTGAGGAAGCCGAATTCTAACAGGGAGGGCTCACCTACTGCAAAAACCGTAATCAGTTTTCCACGGGAACCGCAATGGGAAAACAAAAGGTGCAACTTTCCTCGTGCAGAAAGGAAATGCGTCTTTCTGCAGCT